CCCCCCACCCCCCCCCCACCTCCCGCGCGCGCACACACACACACACACACACACACACACACACACATATAGAGACAGAAGCAGCACAGGGCAGGAGACTCAGACCAACATCAGCAGCTTTGAATTATCTACACTTGAGAGAAGGAAGAAAACCAGTTTAAAAATCAACATGCATGCACTGTCTGAAAGAAATTAGAAATATCAGCTCAGAGCAGAGCAGGGTCAGAAAATGGATCTGAAAGGAACTAAAATATTTCAGCTATGTAAAAATGAGAGTGCAAAAAAAATGGTCTCCGTAGAGAATTCCTGCGGTTTTATATGCTAAATTATGAGATATTTTGTCTCATTCTTTTTTCAGGAAAATAGAAAAATGTCAGCACACTGGGGCTCCAAAATTACAAAAATGTAATAGCAGAATGTCCTATATGATAGTTTCATGTGACTGGATCAAAACATGCCTGTATGAAAAGAATAAAATCATCTCTAGGGAGCAAATACTGCCTGTTTCTGACACTGGATCGGAGTAAAGAGGTGTAACAACTAAAACACACCAATGCCAGTCATCTTCACATCAAATGAATCACAAAATCTAGTGTCATTGTCAATCAAATAAGAGTTGTGACACCTGAATACTTAACCTGAACAAAGCCAATATTTCACTTTTCACAATGAAAGCATAATCTAACAAGAGTACAACAAAATGCTCAAAAAGCTATGGCAAACACAGCTGAATCTCACAAAACCTCTCAAGACTTACCCCAAAATCACAAGATCAAATAAGCAGTCATATTTTGCATAAAGAAAAACAAATATATTGTATGACCATTGTCAAATTTTATTTGTAAAAAATCTCAATAGTCCTAAAAGTAGACTTCATTTTCTTTATGCAAAATATGTACAGAGTCGGAATGAAAATGTCATAATGCAAACATCTTAATGGTCTTAAACCCTAAGAAAAGTTTCCATTTCTTAAGGGAAATCTTTGTTACTTTCTCTTTTGATTTTGGGGTGAAATATGAACATCTAATAACAACCATCACCAACTAACACAAGTGTTCAGCAACAGCTAACCAACACGAACGTCACAGCGATGAGTTTCAGATCACACACAACACAGAGAAAGAGAACCTCACTGTCTACAGACGTCTGGGAGGATCAGTCGATGAACTCCACTTGGGCATTTTGACTCATTCATCACTGAACTTATTATACATTTTAAAATACAACCTTCACACGAGAACATGTGCAAGTGTTTATAGAAACAGCACAATGGATGATAAAACAACACAACACAAGCTCAAACATCTGGGGCCTGTTGCATAAAAAAAGTTTACCAAATAAGCCAGGTTTATTTCAGTTGGTCTGACTTATTGCCAGTTGATTTGGTTCAAAATAAGTCAGACTAACTAAAAATAAGCCTGGCTTATTTGGTAAACTTGTTTTATGCAACAGGCCCCTGATCTGCCATAAAGTCTTCACATCTCACATATCGTCAATGTAAAGAAACAACAACAAAGTCACTTTCCTTTGCAAAAACGTTTCTGGAGAGTTTCGTTTCAAACGTTTTAACCAGAATTTCCTAAAAACATTTCTTAAAAACAAATTCAAACTAAACTCTGCGGGACTAGAAGTGGTTAAAGGGATAGTTCACCCAAAAAATGTAAATTCTGTCATTAATTACTCACCCTCCTTTCTTTTCAAACCCGTAAGATCTTCGTTCTTCTTCAGAACACAAATGAAGATATTTTTGATGGAATCCGAGAGCTCTCTGACCCTCCATAGACAGCAAGGGTACTACCACGATCAAGGCTCAGAAACGTAGCAAGGAGATCGGTAAAATAATCCACGTGACATCAGGGGTTCAACCGTAATATTACAAAGCAGCGAGAATACTTTTTGTAAGCAAAGAAAACAAAAATAACGACTTTATTCAACAATTCGTCTCCTCCGCATCACCCTGTAGCACCATTTTGGAGAGTATCACATAAACGTAGACAACATATGAAACGTATTTATGCGAATACGCTGTTTACGTAGTTCACGGTTTGATCTGAACATAAACATATCCCGGTACATACGTTTCATTTGTTGTCTACGTATGTGATACTCTCCAAAATGGCATTATTAGGTGACGCGGAGGAGACGAATTGTTGAATAAAGTCATTTTTGTTTTCTTTGCGTACAAAAAGTATTCTCGTAGCTTCGTAATATTACGGTTGAACCCCTGATGTCACATGGATTATTTTACCTGATTCTTGATCGTGTTAGTATCATTGCTGTCTATGGGAGGGTCAGAGAGCTCTCGGATTCCATCAAAAATATCTTCATTTGTGTTCCGAAGGTCTTACGGGTTTGAAACGACATGTGTGAGTAATTAATGACAGAATTTTTGGGTGAACTATCCCTTTAAGGCAGTGATAAAAATGCAAATGTCCATCCTAAGAGTCCAACATGACACAGACTTCAACTCTTCTAGCTAATGACATTCAGGTTGTCTGTTCTATAAGCTCTACAGATGCTGCATTGAACAGATCCAGCGGTGTTAGCGAGTGAGTCTCACCGTCTTGGTTGCCCCAGTCCCAGTCGGGCCCGCGCACCACCTTCACCCCCTGGAAGATTCCTTTCAGGATGATTCTGGACAGGTTCTGTCTCGGCGTCAAGCTCACTCTGAGTTTGAGAGAAGGAAGAGCCAGTTATTAACATGAGGAAACCTTCAAGCTCTGATCTGCTTCATCCAACTAAGCTCATTTTTCACAATGTTCTCTTTGTGAACTTGATTTGTTTCACAAATAAACAAATATCTTTTCTCTGTGAGTCTTTCATTATGACTGATGCTAATACAAAATATGCATTTAATGTTAAATACTGAAATCAAACTAAAATTAATTTGACACTAAATACAAACGTATTAGAATTCAATGACCTGAGGAAAAATCAACACTTATTTTTTTAGGTATACGTATCAAAATTGTGGATAAAAATAGACTACATCCCCATGAGGCCATGAAAATGAATTGTGCAAGTTATTGATTAATGGATAATTATTTTAAATTCCAATCACTTTTGGAATTTCCTAAAACAAAATTAAACTGACACCCCTAATTCCCAATTTTCTGTTGTGTTTTTCACAATACAAACAATCACAATTCACAATTATCTTAACTAATAGTAGCACTAGTTCTTGTAGAGCTCAGTGAAAGGTTGAATTCCCAGGGAAAATCTATAGCTTGATATTCATCATAAGTAGGGCCCTATGAAATCTGTTTTATTTTTTCCATTTTGATTTTTCTGAATTCTGTTTTTTTGTTTGGTTTAATTTTTCTAGACTCTGTTTTAATGGTTAAATAAAATTTTATTAATCAAAAAGCATGTCAAATTAATTGAAAACATGAAACGTAAACAATTTAACAGCAATTTATTAAAAGTTTGACAAATTTATTTTTTAAGGCCCAATGAAATAAATTTTTTTCTTTTTTAAATTTAGTTACATTTTTACTCAATTCTGTTTTCCGTAAGTTTTCTGGATTCCATTTTAATGGTTTAATTAAATTTTTATAAATCAAAAGCAATTAATTTATTTATTTTTAAATTTTTTAAAGAAATACTGTGTTGTGTATTTACATGTTTTGGATAAATAAATTCTGGTAAATATTTTTTCTGATAAATATTCATTAAAAATGTTTTAATAACAATTTTATTAGTACACCGTAGACACCGTGAGCATCACACGCTCTTCAGTATGTGTGTAGTAAACGAAACTGCGCCATTTATTCACACAGAGACACACAGAACATGCAGGATTCATATTTAAATAGTATTTGGTTGCTTAATATTTACAGACACTAGTTCATATCACGTTTTGATTTAACTGTACTGACCTACTTTTGATTTATTCATCCAAAATTAGGCAAATTCCATGATATTCTGCGTTAATAGTGCTTGACCGATATATCGCCAAGGCCGGTATTTGATATTTTTCAAATATCGGCATCGGCCAATAAGTTTTTCTGTTTGACCGTTGCGTTCGAGACGGGGCTTTTATTTTGACGGCGCTGAGAACGGCAACGCCTAAACACACAGTGCTCACATTCTCCCTCTTGTTCGCCGTCATCGTTAGCAGTGCTGTCTAATACGGATAGAAATATGTCTAATAATAATCCGATAGAACTGTTAAACAAAGGAATTAAAATGTATACAAAAAAGTATTATAACGATTGCTTTAATATTATTAGTAATAGAAAGGCAAACATTATAATACTTTCTCGTTTGCCGTCAGCATTCAGCAAATACGCATTGATATAATTTAAACAAATCTTTGAATGGCTAATAAACATCCAATTTCACAAACCATGCAGACTTAGTCGGATCCAGCTGTGAGATCTTGTGAAGTGTGCATGTGACCTGCATGATCACGTGTTCTCTGCGTGACTTTCGGTCCATGCAAATTGAATGCTTTAAACATTAAATTCGTGATTTCAAATTATGCTGCGCTTCATGGTTTTGCCCTCTGTCATATTCATGTCATTTTCACTGTGTGCTGTATGTAAAATGAGTGTTACCTTGGCTTTATTTGAAAAAATATGATTAATGCACACAAACTTCCCAGAATACTGAGTGCTCTGTTGGTTAGTTTACTTCCTTTTTAATTACATTTTTATTCAATATTTATTTATTTGAGAAAAATATTTTGTCATCTAAAGTATAAGTATGTTTATTTTACAAATTACTTTTTTAGTCCATTTTAAAATGATTTCAAATTTCTTAAATATTAATGAAAATAAATACAAATATATCGGCTTTATATCGGCCACCCTGCTTTCCAAGATATCGGCATCGGCTGTCAAAAAAATGACAATATCGGTTGGCCAATATGCGTTATACAGCAAATTCCATTTTTATGACTGGATTCTGCGATTTCCGTCCGTGCTTTCCGAAATCATAGGGCCCTACGTAAGTCACTTTAGATTAAATCATCACATGAAGAAACACAGAAGTAACCCTTGCAACGCAAACATCTGATCAGCCCGTAGCTAAAGACAGCCGAGAGAGAGGTTTGTTTTCTTCAGTTTGTTAAAGCAAACAATGTCAAAATCACTGCTTTCACACTCACTGAGAGCAATGAGAGGACGCTCACAGTCAGAGAAGACTGTATGTCATTGATTCTCATTTGGGAATGTGTGCTCGAGGACATTAGACAGATTTTGTACAAGAGAAGCATAATGGGAAACACATGCTCTCAATACAGCTAATGTCAGAAGACTGTCTTATGTCAACAAACTAAAGCAGCCTTGGGAACTCTTCAAGAGTGCGTTGCGAAAGACCCTGTGTGCTAAACGCAGTGGAATAACAATGAATAACAGCACATACCTTATAGTAAAGATCTGATCTGATCGGGGAGCAAAGGAACTGCCTATTCCCATAATTCATCCGCAGGGTCAAGCATCAACGCTCGCTGCCCAGCTAGACCTACTGCATCAGCGATCTCTGCTCGGCTTTGATTTTCTCTTCAAACTCATTGTCTGTTAAGGTCAGCTGTGCGGAGCGGTAATGTCACGTCCGTCCTTACGAATGCTCTCTTGCCAAATGGCAGCACCTGCATGGCTCGAAGGCTTAACACACAATCAGGATAAATCTCTAAGCAGTCTGTGGCTCTTGTGTCTCAGGTGTCTCAGGTCTTGTGAAGCTAAGACGTAATCAACAGACGCTGTTTATGCACACGCAACAGAGATGGACGATTTATGAACATCTCTCTCTCTGCACCGACAACAAGTAAAATGTGGCATCTTAAATAAATAGCGTTTGTTGCCAAGGGTCGCACAGATTAAAGGTTTGACAAACAGAATAAACCACATTTGACTGAAATGCTGTATTGGAATATTTTACTCATTTTTTACTCTACCAATTATAAAACTGTGCTGTATGATGAGTTTTGTGCGATAGGGAGCCATTCAGCACCTGCGAGATCCTGTTATTATGATTTTTATTATTTAGTGATTTACAAGTTGTAGTTGTGCATGAAACATCCCGATGACTGTAAAAATATGTATGTATGGCAATGGCATATTTTGAGTTTTGAAATGTGAGATGCCTCATTGGGTTTTGGGCTGCCATTGGGCGAGCTTTGTTTCGCAGATCTGACAGCCCTGGTCATAATGCCAAGAGAATATTTTTCAAATGAAAGACAGAACAAGCTCAATTTTTAAGCAAAACATCTCACAAAACGAGGTTTGTTATGTTTCAGAATCTGAAATAATGGATCTAGATTTAAAAACAATGGCAGAGCTTTTGTCGAATGTAAAAGTTCAGGTGATGAACTCCACCTGCAGCTCATCTACTGGTGCTCTGTTATTAATAATGCTAATATTTTTGTGGAAAGTTTGATGATTTAGAAAGTTAATTGAACAGCTTTTATTTGACATATCTTTTGTAACAAATTATTTTAACTTCACTTTTGATCAATTTAATGTGTTTTTTTAGTGCTGTCAAAATGAGCGCGTTAATGCAGGCGATTAATCTTTTCAGTTTAACGTTTAAAGTTTTTAAATATTTAACGCAGTTAACGCAGGGGCGGAGCTTGGGTTGGCCACCCCACTCACAACTGCTGCTTCTGTCTCTTTTTTCATGACAAGAATTGTGTTTATTTAGACGCAGAATATCTTTGCGACCGCATCAAACGAGAGACTTTTCAAACGAGCGTGGAAACAGTAACGAGGTGACGAGGAGCTTCAGCAGAACATCAGTGAACTGTGGTCATATGAGAGGTTGTCAGGCTACATGTCAGTAAAAACACATTTTCCTGTCCTGTCAGCTGTTATATTGTGCTTGTAACACGTGCTCTTCAATCGCACGCACAAATACGGCAGCGTGCACTGTAGCCTGTTTCATTTCGTATTAAAGTATCAATGAAACTGCAAGCATGCGTGTAAGATCTGCGTCACGTTCAGCAGCGGCAGCTCTTAAAGTAATAGCAGCCAAATAAACTAATAACCAGCTGCTGTGATGACTGTCCATCAACGAACAAAAGAAAAAAGGAAATCAATAACTTTTGTAGCTTTAAGAATTAATCTATATTTAATTTAGAATTTAGTGTTTGATAACTTTATTCAATTTCTGTCTATTTCCTACTTGCTGAAGGGCACAGGCAAATATGACATTTATTGTAATAGGTTTATGTGAAGATTGTTTGTAGTTCACTTAAATTAGAAGTTGTTATTTTTTATTTCTGAAGGATCATGTGACACTGAAGACTGGAGTAATGATGCTGAAAATTCAACTTTGATCACAGCAATCAATTACATTTGACTATATATTCACACAGAAAACAGCTATTTTACATTGCAATAATATTTCAAAACATTACTGTTTTTACCCTATTTTTGCTCAAATAAACACAGCCTCGGTGAGATTTAGAGATTTCTTTCAAAAACGTCAACAATCTTAATTATTCCAAACTTTTGGTGGCCAGTTTTCATCCACTAAAATCAGCTGGTTATGAGTCACGACAAAACAGTTTGAGAAAAGTTAGTTCTGTGAAGTTCTCTAGAATAATCTGTTTGCACATGGCACTGGTTTAATCAACGCAGCGAGTTCCATTTCTGTGTTTCTGCTTAGTCTTTGGTGACACTGCTCTACTGTGTCAAACGGCAGTCAGAGATCAAGGTCAGTCC